CCCCCCCCCCTCTTTTCCTTTCATAGTTTGTTCATAAGCAGTGTATTCTCTTCTCAATAATTCTTACCTTTGGGGGTGGAGGGTCTTTGAAGGGATGATTCCTTCTTCCATGCAGAATCAACAGCCTTGTCAACCATGGGAACATATTCATCGTATCCTGGGAAGTTTGTGGTGTAGCCAGACATTCCAATAGCCTTAGCCTGTTTGATGACGAGAAAAAATTAAATATGAAAATAACAAATAATATGCTCAACTTCCTATTCAAGAAAGGAACAGGGATATGGTTATTTTTATTTTTATTTTTTAAATAACGTAGGAACAGGGATGTGTTTAATCTAAGTGACACAATCTTGAATCTCAGGCTCATCTCAAACAAGAACGTCAAATAGACAGCCGCGGTTTGACGTAAGACGGTCTTTTTTATCTGGTGATGTCCAGACGATTCCTTTAAATAAAAGAAAAGCCAACTCATGAAACTGAGCGAAAATGGATAAGTATACCTCTTCTCGGACAGGAGTAAGCCGAAGATGTGAATAACTCCTTACAGCTTTTGGGGAAGCAATATCTTCAGCTTCAGATCCAGATTCTGCAGTAGAGGTGTCACTACTACCTTTCACCTGCTAAAATAAAAAATGTGTAACCATCTTCAAGGAAAACAAAACATATGGTGTATTTCTTAATACTTCGGAAATACGGCGGAAATCCTACCGTTGGGTAACGAGGCTTAGCATAAACTACCTTCCCTTCACTATTTAGAACTTTAACAAGCTGCTTGGCACGCCGTGCTTCACCAATCATCTGCATCAGAAAAAGAAAGCCATTAGTTTGAAATGTAAACACGCCTGCATCACCAAAAGAGATTGTTTCTCATTATTAAAAAACATCTTGAAGACGAACTGTCTTCCTGAAGATGTGACGAACAGAGCATCATCAGAAAATAACATTACATCGGCTGCGAGGCCCTTGAAACTACCTTTAGTATATCTGGATTTTGCCATGGCCCTTTATCTGAGCGCATGCAACCTCCTCGATCTGCACACGTACAGGTACCACCTAGGAAATCTGGCAACTCACTGCATAAAAAATCAGTAGAATGTTGAGGGAAACTACCAGCAATACTACCAAAAGCAAACAAATACAGCAGAATTCTTTGTCTAGTGAATAAGAACACAGATCCTTTTACCTAGCATCAATAATTTCAAGCAATTTGTTCTGGTACTTGTTCCCAAGAACCTACAAGAGACCAAAAAAAAGTAACAAAGTAAATACAACAACTTCTTGTAAAACAGAGACTTCATAAGTTACAGGAGAAGAGCATCGACAGACATGTATCTTGGAGGCTGTCTTCGGGTCTAGAAAACTCTTAACAGTGTTCCAAAGGAGCCTAAACCCAGGTCCAGCATTGATTATGAACATCTGATGAAGAGTCTGCACATGTCAAAAAAGGGGAGAAAGTGTTAATGATCCCAAAGTTAGGAGACTCTCATAATATTTATTCAGGCAGGGATGAAATCATGCCTCGGGATAATTATCACCATCAATCTTCTGGAGCCGCATAATAAGCTCCCTCGCACTCTTGCTAAAGTTTTTCAAGCCCTAAAAATGAATATAGGAAATGAAGATAGGGAAAACATGTATTTGCCCAAAAACTGCTTCTCAAATCATCAAAGGAGGAGAAAGAAAAACTAAACAAGAGGTAACTTACCACTCCCTGAACATCCAAAATGGTCGTGCTTGAATCGATCTGCCTTTTTGTGGCTATTGTACAAGCTGGAAACTTAATCATAAAGGTTTTCTCGAACTCTCTTACGTGGTATTTTATATAACGATCCATGGTTGTGACTTGCATGAGTTTGGTAGGATCAACTTTCCCTAGTCGTTCAATGTATACTGGTCTTCCCTCCTTATCAATCCCATGATAACCTTGGGGATAATGTTTTACAACTTCGTCCATCTCTGGGAATTCAAACTCCTGATGAGCAATTAAGTTCAGAAAGCATTTCAGCCTAAATGATGTTACAAACATACAACAAAAAATACAAAAAAGAACGAACACTGTTCCAGCCACATGCTGTGAGGGATAATGTTACCTCCGTAATCGTGTCAGCCCCAAAATCCTTCCTCCACTGAATCATATCAGCCCACATGTGCTTCGCTTTCTCGATGTCAAACTTCCTTGCTTTTAAGAACCTGCAACAAACACAGAAGAATTGTTAATAAGTTAGGATGCTGTTGAACTGGACAACACCAAGAAGAAACAACCAGAAAACTTGAAATCCAGATCCTCCTTAAATTCTCCATACGGCTGCATGTAATGTATGTGTGTTTGCTTTTGAATTTCGACCTATTCTAAAATTAAACATCTATACTCACATTTGATCTATCTTTTGTTCCAGTTCTGGCAGGCCTGTAAAAAAGTTTTTAATGAAGTTGACAAACAAATCCAATTTTCACAGAAGACCTATATGAATAAATTTTTAAACATCAAAGATGTAATTCAAATGACTCGTAAACACGCAGAAACATCACAGTAAACTCAATGCAGCATAAATCTTATCACTCTGTGCATACATACATGTAGAAGTTACAGGTAACAGGAGATTACCTCAACATCATATAGTAGTCATCGTGTTTCTCTGGTAACAACTCATCCAAAAGTAATGCTTGCCTAAACTGATCAACAGCCTGTAGCTCCTCAGCATCCCGAATAT